TACTGGAGGTAAATGTTTAGATCGTCCTGAAGGTAGTAATGGAGGGTTATACTTATCATACTGGAGATAAATGTTTATATCGTCCTAAAGGTAGTAATGGAGGGATTATACTTGTCATACTAATGGTAAATGTTTAGATCGTCCTGAAGGTAGTAATGGAGGGGTTATACTTATAATACTGGAGAAGAAATTTTTTCGATCGTCCTAAAGGTAGTAATGGAGGGGTTATACTTGTCATACTGGAGGTAAATGTTTAGATCGTCCCAAAGGTAGAAATGAAGGTGTTATACTTGTCATACTGGAGGTAAATGTTTAGATCGTCCTAAAGGTAGTAATGGAGGGGTAATACTTGTCATACTGAACGTAAATGTTTAGATCGTCCTAAAGGAGTAATGGAGGAGTTATACTTGTCATACTCGAGGTAAATGTTTTGATCGTCCCAAAGGTAGAAATGGGGGGTTTATACTTGTCATACTAGAGGTAAATGTTTAGATCGTCCTAAAGGTAGTAATGGGGGGTTTATACTTGTCATACTAGAGGTAAATGTTTAGATTGTCCTGAAGGTAGTAATGGAGGGGTTATACTTGTCATACTGGAGGTAAATGTTTAGATTGTCCTAAAGGTAGAAATGGGGGGTTTATACTTGTCATACTAGAGGTAAGTGTTTAGATCGTCCTAAAGGTAGTAATGGAGGAGTTATACTTGTCATATTGGAGGTAAATATTTAGATCGTCCTAAAGGTAGTAATGGGGGGGGGGGGGGGTTATACTTGTCATACTGGAGGTAAATGTTAAGATTGTCCTAAAGGTAGTAATAGATGGGTTATACTTGTCATACTGGAGGTAAATGTTTAGATTTTACTAAAGTAGTAACTTGAGGTAAATGTTTAGATCGTCCTAAAGGGAGCAATGGAGGAGTTATACTTGTCATACTGGAGGTAAATGATTAGATTGTCCTGAATGTAGTAATGGAGGGGTTATACTTGTCATACAGGAGGTAAATGTTTAGATCGTCCTAAAGGTAGTAATGGAGGGCTTATACTTGTCATATTGGAGGTAAATATTTAGATTGTCTCAGGTTTAGTGGTAATTATTGCAAAAGTACTTTAAAAATCTTTTTGAATTAGAAGTAGTAATGGAGGGGTCAATATCCTCATACTGTAGATAAATACATTGATTGTCCTACAGGGAGTAGTGAATTGATCATTGTCGTTATACTGTATGTAATTATTTACATTTCAAGCCCCCCAAAAAGGTTTCTGTTGTTTATATAGAGAATAATACATGTCTTTTTCCATATCACACCCAGTATCAACCCGATACCCCGATCTGGGGGAGAGATATCGTGCACATAGACAGGTACTAACGTTTTTCCACACGAGATAAAGAGCATTTAAATTGCACATTTGGTCATAGCCATTTTGTTAATAAGCAAACTCCTGATTGATTTGAGATCTATGGTTAGTATAGTACTGAAGGGTCGGTCAGAAAGGCTTTGGAAATAATTAAGAAAACATGTCATGGGACTGATTTGATGTAACAATGACATAAGGCAGGCTTTATAAAGACATGGGCCCCTTTCGCCTATCCGGTTCAACCAGTTGAAACGGTTGAACTTGTAAAGAAAACGACAAGCACATATCTGTCCCAAGGCTGACATCACGTGTAGATTGCTAGTTTTGCGCTATTTCTTTCGAAAACAATGTCAAGCCACATGTAGTTTTTTCAGATACGTTATGAATTCAGAGGACGCGTGAACGAAGGGCATAATACTCTTGATACCTTGCTATTTATTCTCCGAAACTGCATTTCTAGCTCTGCTTATAAAACGGTCTAAGTGCCTTCGTTTATCGCGGAATATTTTTGCATCACCTATACCGTTTCAACCAGGACACGCGAATGTAACCATGGACAGATTCTAGATGCACGTGCTTTTAGGAAGATTTTCTGCACATGTTATTATTATGGCCAACTTAATAAACACATGACATTGCGCAGACTTCATATACAATAATGTATTTATTTGATCAGAAAAATTATGTTCTAGGGGATCAGTCTCCCCTTGGTCAAATGGAACTCTTAGGAAAAAAAATTGTTTTCACATATCTATTCGAAAAGATCTTTCGTATTCAAATACCGCTCTAAGAAGACAGTGTATTCCTATGTACCTGTAGTCCACAGCAGTATCTAAGTTTAAGACCTTATAGCCACTTCGTTCAAGCGTTTAAATGCCTGCGAGTTCTTGAATGATGCAATAGACGGCGCCATGGACGTACTTGATGTAGGAGTTTTTGTCTTTACTTTCATTTTAGCAGCCATTTTGACAAGTTTATGCATCTGTTGCTTGGTTCCTGTTTGGCAGAAGGCGTCAAACATGTCGACCAAGTTGCCTTTAGCTGTGGGTTTACTGTCTTCTACGTGGTCGACGTTACGCCTGTGAACGTCATAGTGCGATATTTTGTTGGCTTGGTTAAATCGCAGCTGGTCAAGCATAAATCCTTCTATTCTCTTGTCCAAATATTTCGTTTTTTGTTTCTCTTTATTTTGTGTCTCTTCCCACTTTTTGTATCCGTTAGTATCCTTAGACGACACAAATTTGACTTTCTTTTTTGACAAGAAGGGAATTGTCGGCTTCTTGTCCCCGGTAGCCGTCAATGTTTGTGGTAATGGGTTCTGATTGGAGGGTGTGACGACATCCCTGGTGATATTGTGAGTTGGCGATACTGGAGGGAAGTACTCGGGAACGGGCGAACCACTACTTTGTATTTTAGTCCTGGTTTCATTTTGAAATCGACTGCCCTGTATGGTTAAATAGGCTCCATTCACGGCGACATTCGAACGACCAAACGTGTGAGTCTGTTTTACAACATCTTTATCCTTTGCTCGTTCATGGAAACCCACTGATGACTTAGATTGGCGTCTGTCGGTCGGGATCAAAGGGAAACTTGAATTGATAGAACCTCGGGGTGTGCACGGCTCTGACTTTACCCTAGGTTTAACTTTCGTCTTTACCACTTTAACAGCCTCTGACGCCTGCTTATTGTCATCCTGTATTTTATTCAAACTGGGGGAGAACGACTTTCTGTCTAGGACGGTACTGCGCGTGTTGGGTGCTAGCTGATTGAGGAACATATTTACCCGTTTGATATAGAACTCCTGATTACGACGGTCCACGAGACGTTTTTCGGAAACGTATGAGTGTGTGGAGGAGTCACGCTGTTTCTCGACTTTGTCCTTTTGTTTGTTACTCTTGGCGTTGAGAGTCTTGTGTTTATTCATCAGTAGGTACGTTCTGTTAGGTGCCAGCATCACTTCAATGTTCATGCTATGGTCCTGTACAGACAGGTCACGTGTCTTCAGCAGAAACAGAGACCTCGAGGACATCGACATGTTTAGAGCGTGATGAGCAGTTTGTGTCGATAGTAACCCAATCAATAACGTAGTCCGCTACTTCTGATTACGAAACACCTGTGTTGACATAAGAAGAAATACTCATGATCAGTTTGAAATAAAACTGAAATGTATATACATTATCAATGAGATTCTATTCCTTTTTCGGTTGAAAAAGCTAGTAGTTGAGTGTTTTAAAATTTTAATATTTGTGATCGTTTGGTGGGAGAACGTGTTGAACGTGTTGTATAATTTTCGTCTGTTTATTACATCATCAATATATTGATTATACAAATAAGACACAGACTTTACTTTTAACAACAAATTGACAATTCTACGCTATTGTCATCGTAAATACAACCGCTTCTGTCCTGAATATGACGTCACAATTGGCTTATAAATATCTGAGATGATTTGCAACCCACAAGGTGAAATGTATTTATGTAACACCATCAACTTTATACATGTATATGGAAACGATCTTCACGCAAATATTCAATAATTAGTACTGGATTTCTTTGACGCAGTTGCTTAGCTATTAACGTTAGAAGGCAGTCTAATGAACCTCTATCTCCGACTACAATGTGCTTCAAATACTAGCTCCTTACTTTGTAAGAGACGTTGTCATGGAGTGCAAGGATAACAACTCTTTCTCCGACTGATATGTGATACAATTATAAGCTTTGTACGTTATAACAGACATTGAGGAGGCTGCTATCTCCGGATAAAGTATGATACAATTACCACTTTTTACGTTATCAGAGATTGTTGGGAAGTGCTATCTCTGTCTAAAATCTGATACATAACTACTTACTTAATCAGGGAGTGTGAAGAAACTCCTATCCTCGGCTGGAATGTGGTCTGTCCATTGTTTTCTGAGGAAGATACTTATCCAGTGATTTGTGATGATGTAACTGTCCGGGTACAACACGTCCACACATTGGGCGGGTTACTAATGGCTATGGTCGTTTGCAAACTTAACCTAATTAAGTTTGAACACTTTCCATAGTCACAATAATGTGTATTGTTTTCAATCATAATCGGCTGATCTGATGGGAGACTTACACTCAGCTTTCAGTGGATTTACTGGGTTCAGGCCTTTAATCAGTTGTGTTATCGAAATCTGATTACTGCAAACACTAATCTGGTATATTTAGAGGTTAAGACGTTTTAAGCAACTGTAATCATTTTAATAACAAAACCGTGTAATAAACAACGTGTAAAGCTGGCCCTTCCAGTTACCCACCCAAACCATTATCCAAACTTCTAGCTGCCATTCTTAGTACCATTCTTAGTACCATTCAATCGGGGTTGAAGTCGTATTATGACACTGTAAACTCGAGGATAGAATCGATCGAGAGTAACTCTGTCGACTTTTGATCAGTCTTGAACATCATGTTCTCAAAAATAGTTCTTCTATAAAAAAAAATCGACTCTTTACAACACCATACCTCCTACCAAACTTAGGTAAAGCATTCGTTCGCTTCTTGTGAGAGTTGGCTTTTTCAATAAAGGCGTACAGCGATACAGATATAAGATTGTAAATTCTTTTGGAGTATATTATGTGAAAAGCAACATAAAGGCCAAAATGAAATACTCATATACTGAAGATGAAATTGTGAATACTATTGAATTCCTAGTCGTCAATAATCATTGTTGAGTTCAATGGCAAGGCTTGTCAGCAGAAAGTAGGCACTTTTATGGAAACAAGGTTCGACCCTATACTGGATGCTATGTTTCTGTTTTCATTTGAAGCAGTACTTTATTGATGAGCTTATCAGTACTTGTAATAAAAACCTAGATCAGTCCTTCATTTTCATTTTAAGATATATCGACCATATGCTGTCTTTAATTCGAAAAACATCTATTATCCTCGCCGATATTAAACACCCTCCTGAGCTTGAAATCAAAATCAGTACAGACTCTTTAACTTCAACCGCTTTCTTCTATATATAATGATACCATAACCAACAGGAGTGGCTTACTTCTAAGTGTGATCTAAGTGCTTGCTTGCTTGAGGTCGACAGCTGACGCGCAAACTTACAACACAGGGTTCACAAATATGCAAATTGATGAAGAATCTGGTCGTCATCACGATCTCATAGGGAAATATGGTGGTTTGTTGTATGATATGAAGATCGATGTTTTTGACTATGCCCATGAGAGTGCCGTGTGGTGTTGTTGTCACTACCCAGTGCTCGGTATGAGGACGTGACAATAAATGGATTGGCCCAGATTTTGAATTCAAATTATGGATAAGTTAAAGATTCGGTATTCTCTTGTTGTTTTTATTGACAATGAAATAGAACTGACGGAACCGTGTGATGGCAAAACAAAATTGTGTAAAGAATCGTTACTTAAAACTGTATAACAATGGAGAAGAGTGTGTAAAGAATCGCTACTTAAAACTGCATAACAATGGAGAAGAGTGTGTAAAGAGTCGTTACATAAAACTGTATAACAATGGAGAAGAGTGTGTAAAGAATCGCTTCTTAAAACTGTATTAGAATGGAGAAGATTGTGTAAAGAATCGCTAATTAAAACTATATAACAATGGAGAAGATTGTGTAAAGAATCGCTACTTAAAACTGTATAACAATGGAAAAGAGTGTGTAAAGAATCGTTACTTAAAACTTTATAACATTTGAGAAGAGTGTGTAAAGAATCGCTTCTTAAAGCTGTATAACATTGGAGAAGATTGTGTAAGAATCGCTACTTAAAACTGTAAAACAATGGAGAAGATTGTGTAAAGAAACGCTACTTAAAACTGTATAACAATGGAGAAGATTGTGTAAAGAATCGTTACTTAAAACTGTATAACAATGGAGAGGAGTGTGTAAAGAATTGCTACTTAAAACTGTATATTAATGAAGAAGATTGTGTAAAGAATCGTTATGTAAAACTGTATAACAATGGAAAAGATTGTGTAAAGAATCGTTCTTAAAACTGTATAACAATGGAGAAGAGTGTGTAAAGAATCGTTACTTAAAACTGTATAACAATGGGGAAGAGTGTGTAAAGAATCGCTGTGTGTAATAATTGACATAATGGAGAAGAGTGTGTAAAGAATCGCTACTTAAAAGTGTATAACAATGGAGAAGAGTGTGTAAAGAATCGCTACTTAAAACTGTATAACAATGGAGAAGAGTGTGTAAAGAGTCGCTACTTAAAAGTGTATAACAATGGAGAGGATTGTGTAAAGAGTCGCTACTTAAAAGTGTATAACAATGGAGAGGAGATAATGAAGTAAAAAGCATGCAGCAGCAGCACTTGCCAAAGAAAAGTAACGACGAAACCACAAAAACCCAATGCTTGTACTAAAGTAGACCTTGTTGTGCCAAAAAAGGGAAGTGCGAGTTCCTGAACTTTTAATTTGTCCAAGGTTTAAGGTACAAATTCAAAGAAACCGAAACAATATTTACACCCCACAACAAAAGTGCAAAAGGAGAAGGAAAAGTTCATATTCAAAGGAATTGGGTGGAATTTTCCTTCTGTAGTAGCCAAGAAACCAAATATGCACCTAATATACAAGAAGAAATTTAAGTTATCAAAGGATCTGTGCTTGCCTTTTTTATCAAAAATATAATCAAAATATCCTCGACTCGATCCTACTCCAGAAACAATAGTTAAAGATCACGCAGATCACAGTTTTAGAGTCTAACGGAGACCAAAAATGTCCTATGATGAACCCGGAAACAACAACACTATGATTGTTTGTAAAATCAAATAGGGATGATTTAAAGTGGAGAAATGATATTTCCAGCAGGTATGTAAAAGGATATTATAAAATTGAACAAAAAAGAAATTTAGGAGGATCCAGACAGTGATTTCTATTTTTTAATCATACCAGAAATTATAGAGTTGATGATGTTTCGGAAATAGTTATCGTTTCATAGATATAATAAGTATTTTTTTGTGAAGCCTCCAGGGACGATGTCTCCTCTACCTTGAAAACAGTACTAGTGAGAGACTATTTCCAAGCAGGACTAAAACAAAATGGGGACAAATTGAATCTGCAACAGCTGTTTCAGATTTATGTTTAAATTGAACTATTGTGATGTTCATGGCGACGAAATGGCGACTTGTTTGTGCTTCCTACCAGACGTTATGGTTCTGGTGCCCTGGTCATCAGCCTTTTGACTGGTGTCACGTGGTGTACTTGTTTGTTATTGTATGACCAGCTTCATGATAACCATCAAAAACAAATTAAAACAAAATCATTTAATTGATACAAAGACACAAGTTTTATTCAATAAATTATCATTCCGATATATTTCAAATTTATATAAATAAAAATTACATCAAAACTTTTTCAAACCACCTGTTTGTATTATCCTCTTAGCTTCAGATTTTTTTAATAAAATTTGTGAATGTTCAAAATAAATGCGAATGTTAAAAAAGCCCAGTGTCAATTTTATTAAGTTCTATAATTGCTGCTGCTAAGCATACTTATTAAATTTATGAGTGTTGTTAGCTAAAGTCCCCGTAGTAACTTTGCCCGTATCACAGAGGGGCGAGCATTGTTCGGTGTTCATATAGTAATCAGTTGGTATACACGTTCAAAGCTTGTTAGTCATAGCCAGGAGATCAACAATTCACACTTTTTATGATATTGTCGTGGCAATAATATAAGTTCCATGCCAAGTAATATCGTTACATTTTATAGCAATGTAAAATATAGCTTTTTCTTACGGCCATGACATTGTTTTCCTAATGTTATAGAATATATCTTTCATTGTTTATAAAAAATCCAGCGCCTGAAAAACTTAACATTTAATTTAATTTTCATGGCAATGATTAACATTTCATGCCTTTTTTTCCAGAATATTTTATTGTACTGATCTTATATACAAAAGATTTGGGCAACAGGCATAGCCTATATAAGCCCTTTCCTTACAAAACATAACAGTAAATACATATCATATAAATGTTACTTTTACAGGTGTTTCTTTAAGTATTAAAATAAGAGATTATTTGTACTTTGAATTTGATTTGACAATACATATTTCAAATATCGCAATTGTTATAAAGAGATTATTTTACAAAGCTATTTAAAAATCTAATGAAAACGTTTGGTGACTCTAATATAACTCTGGACCGTCTCCACAATATTTATATTCACATTTACGTCTCGTGATTGAAAACCAAAAATAAAAGTTTAGGTATTAAGTGGAATAGCATCACTCATCGCTGAGAGTTAAGTAATATTGTTACACCTCAAGTGAATTTCTAGCTATTTGATTGGTTTGGAGAAATTAAACAAAAATCTCTGTCACCCTCCGAAAATACATTGGTTTTAAGGGGCGCGGGTGATATTGCCATGAGACAGTGAAAAATATCACATGCGCAAAAAATGCGCGTGCACCGCTTCGTTTCCCAACCGTGATGGTCACAAGAACGTTTGACGGCAACAGACAATTTCATCAAGCGCCGGTGCGATAGCGATTGTAAACAGCAGACAATCAACAAACAAGATGTCATTATCGAAGTTTGCTGCCGTTTCTGAGCTACATTGTACAAAGACTTTTGGTGTAACAAAATAGATATGATATTCATTAGCAGGTGACAGTGAATATTGCCAACCCTCATTACCCATTGCCCCCCTCGGCTTCGCCTTGGGCGACAATGGGCTTCTCGGGTTGACAATATTCACTTTCCCCTGCTAATGAATGTCATATTTATATATTCGTCTATCATCGTGATATTTATAAATGTTACTACATATTGGGTGAACATCCATATGGGATGAACGTAAACATACCTTTTTCTGAGCTCCAAGAGATGTCATAGTGGGAAACAGACAGGCTGGATTGTTCCATTCTGACATAAGTTTTTGAAAAAAACTAGAGTTATATAAATGCGTTCATTTCATGCTTCTGAGATATTATATCCGTTTTCATGGTTAATTTTACGACAACAAATTCGATCATTAAGATTATATCATGACCGGATTTTCCTGGTTCTGAAAATGCCTTGTGATACCATTTTTAGGTCTATTCATGAAAAGTCTTCTTTCATGGTTTTTCATGGCAAATTCAAGGTACATTGTATTTCTGAGGGGATTTTCATAAATTTTCTCATGTGATAATTATTTCTCATGTTTTTATGAATCTTTCATGGCATTTCATATAGTAGTGTAACATGGCCGAAACATGCAAGGCTTGTATTTGAATCTTAATCCATCTGTTCTTAATACAGTTAATGTTCCGACAGCACTTTTGATTAGCCATAAACATATAATTAAGTTGAATGAAACCATTATTAAAAACATAACTAGTACTTTACCACAGCCACACAATATTGAATACAACATTTCTGTTTACCATGTGTATACATTGTGTGTCATGCGAAATGGGGAATAGTGTCAATGTAAAACGGAAATGTAATCGAATATCTGGGTCACAAATGACGAATCATCTGAATATTATCCTTTACACTTGTTGTTAATAGATTCATGTATGAAATGTCATTTTCATTAAAATACATAAACTTTTGTAGCATCGCATTGTAACCAACGACAGGCCACAACAGACTACTGGATTAGAGCACATACTACCATGTAAATCCCGTATAATCTCGCGAGAAAGGACAAGATGTCTAGAAATCTGTCTGGACATAAAAGAGACACGATGTCAGATGCCTTAAGTAATTCATCATTCGTTAACTCTTACTGAAAAATCCAGCCATTTCTTCATTCTATCATATTTCCGCAAATTGTAAAAAAAATCTCTTCCTTGTTTTCAATCACCTCTTTACCCATCTCCGGTTATTATCGACTGTCCTGAGCCTTCAATTATTTTGCGATTAAAGTATCTAAATATGCACATTTGTGACTGAAAATAGTCTTATTTACTGAATAATTCTATTATTTTTCATCCTTGATATCTAATAAGTAGTTAAACTTTCGGTACATTATCATGGTTGTATTTACATATAAGAAGGCGCCCAAATGACTTGATCCCCCATCATAAATTAACTATTATTATGCACAAGAACAATATTCACTAAAAACTCATAATGCCTCTTTCCCATAGTTAAGGTTCTCCGTACCACCGTGACAACTGTAACTAAGAAACTGTTACCCGGCATGACTATAGCTCTGATAAATAATGTATGAAAAGAAAACCATACCTTACGGCACCGTTATGAAAAATGATACAAATCAAAAAGATGAAAAAAGTCATAAACAGTGTTTCCGAGTGTTAAATTTCAGTGGGATTAGACAGGAGGTTAATATAAATACGAAAAATCTACACAGCAAAGCAACAGGAATTCCTAACGTTCACAGCAGGTGTGTCTTTGGATATATTGTACGCTCATGACATACAAGCGTCCTTTTTGTCCGTTGTCCACTTTCACATCTTGAGCCTACTGATTGTATTGCACTGTCTTGATATATTGTGATGTTTTGTCTACTGAGAATTCCGTAGATTCTCTATTCTCTCTAAAGCAGGATTCTTTTCAGGCATCACATGTAGAGAATCCGTAAATGACCTAATGGCCCTGCGATTGTCCCCCGCTGTTTGGTAACAGATCCCTAGCAGTGTGTGTACTATCCAGTACTCATGTCCTCCTTGTTCAGGGTCATAGTTCACCACCCGAAGGTTCGTGAGTTCTTTGTCACGTCTCCTCGAGTCACCAAGATCATGGTAGCACAGGAAGGAGAGAAAGGCTGCATAAGGCAAAGGAGGTATATATAAAGGAAAGGTGTGTTTTCTGATTTCGAGGTGCAGCTGTGGTAAACTCAGACAAATGTTGCGTTTGTTAAAAGTTACACATGTATAAGCCCCCGACTTCAGTTTATGGTACAAGGTGTTTACTTGCCCACAGTACAACCTCGTGTACCGTTCCCGGGAATTCTCTGGGATTTCTACATCCAGGTGAACTTTTAACGTCGACATCAAATCTGCACACATCGCAAGTGCTTTTCTGTAATTGCCAGTGAGATAATGGAATGTTGCCAACATCATAAGTCCCGGACTCGTACACATTGACGCTTGTGGTATCAACATGTGTTTAGATTTCCTCAGAGCTCTATAGTTCTGCTTGTTACTACCAGTAGTATTGTACTCAGGAAACAAGCTATTCCCTGTGTTGTACAGGGCAGTAGTCATTGCACGATAAGCAATGAATTCATCAACATCAGATTCTGCTACAACTAGAAGTCGTAATGAAACATCAAGGCTTTCCCTAGTTATGTCGGAATGGTCAAATGCATTAAGACATATACGAAATAGGTCTAAATCCTTTTCACATTCACTGTTTTGGTTCGTCCCTTTGTTTTGGTTTTCCTGAAGCAACTTTTTAAGGTCAAACGTAACGACTGACTCTACTGACAAAAACACTCTGGGCCATTTCAGGTCATAGCAATCTCTCAGGAAATGTAGAATTTTTTGTCGGTTTTCCCCATGAACCTTCCTTAAAAACAGGTTATTGTCTTGAATGAAATAGTTTGGGCAATAACCAGATTTAACCCATGCAGTCAAAATACTGAGACAGAAGCGTAGACATAGAAATGTGTTTCTTTCGTGCCATAACACAGATGGAGAATTTTCAACTGCGAAAAAGATGACTGTTTTAATGAAATATGAACAAAGGATATCGCTGTCTCCAATAATATGGTCTAACAACTCTTTGATCTGTGTAAGAAAATATTTCAGTAATCCATATAACCTGAACTGTGGATGAGTGAGAGAATGAACTAATAGTCGTTCTGCACATGCAAATGAAATCCTCCATTGTAGCAGCGTGTCTGTTGAAGATTTATCACCAACAGGTACGACATGACAGCCACCCTGTACAATCCTGTCAATCATTGTCTGAGTTGGCCAACCATGAAGGCGAGTTCGATGTACCCATTCATCAGCGCCTCTTGGCCAACACAAGCATGGAAAAGCAAATGCGATATCGTGATCTGGATGAATTGTTGATAATAAAGACACGCAAGGTCCATTTGAGACCAGATCGTACTCCCCTGTATACATATCTACCATTCCCTGCCTGTAAATATCACTGGATACAAACATGGAATCTCCAATGCGGACAACAGCATTTCGAAAACCGAAAGGATTTATTTCTGCAAGCTGCAATATTTCAAGAGTAACATACCCAGGCCTGCAATCACCCTTCCTCATTAAAAGAACAATCTTGTGTTCGTTGTTACGATCAAAGCTGTATATCTGTTCGGGATTTATTACAATCACGCCTAGAAGTGTACACATTTGGTCTAAATCTGAGGTGTCCATAAGGAAGCCACCCCCTACACTGCCTCCAACGGAAATTTTCCCGTCGTTTTTCTTGGCGTTTAGGATAAACTCGTCGACGAGAATCACTTTTCTTCTGTTGCGTACTATTTCCTCCGTACCGTGCATGTCATCCATGATCTGGGCCAGTAGTGATGACATGCTTTCCTGGTCCATATGCAAGCTTTCATCGGACACCAGCTGTAACAAACAAATATATACTTACATGTACATCAATGACATGTTGTCGTTTTGACACAAAGTTACTGTAATAAGTAGAAACATAACTGGAACGATCACATGGAGCCTTACTTATCATTATGTCCAGATCGTTACGCAATCAAAACTTAATAAGCTTCAAATAAATTTGCCTACTAAAGACTTAAGCGTAGCGGTCATCTCGGATTTGATATTATTAAGAAAAAAACTTTCGTTTATTTTCGTTTGAACAATAGTTGCAAAAAGATTAATTGAAGAGTAAAAAAGAAGTTGAGAAAAAGCTTATTGTTAATCAGTAATATTAATCATCCTAATTATTGCCTCTAGTAGGGGGGTCCAAAACTTTTCTAGAATATCGCATCTTATAGCTTCAATATCACATCAACAGTTTAATTATAATCATACTGAAATGTATAAGTGAAATTTCTGTTTTGATAAACAAAGGATGTTTATTTGTGTTAAAGTTATCAACTACATAAGACGATCATTGTACAAAGATTAATTAAAATTGAATAGTCGGAAATGTCTTAGTAAAACAGAGTATATGGCGGCCTTAATGATGCAGTACTATTCGACAACATCCTGTGTAGTTAATGAGCGCAAAGTTTAAAATGAAATCAACTGAAAATTGCTTAAAATTTTTCGAACAAATATTGTTTTGATTAAATTTTGTAAACGTGTAATTCCGGGGGTTTGTAGGGTTACTTGCCGAAGTGGAGATTCTCAGATATAACCAAGCCAGGATTTTACGCTCAACATTTTATTCGTCCGGGAGTTTCATCCCTGTAAATCATTAAAATATACACATAAGACACATAAATTTCGTATCGAACGCACCTGACTAAAATAACGCAATACACAATACACACGTACATTGATTATAACATTCCACACCACACGTTTTCCAAACGACCAGACTATAACTGGACAATACATAAATGACAAGATCATTTACACAAAGGCGTACGCAATAATATATAAATGTGGTTTACACTATAATGGTACATTCTCCATTTATAAATATATAAACTAGAATTCTGGTGAGAATAAATACATACGCTCTACCAAATGAAATATTGATCACGCCCATCGGCGAAAATATAAAGGTAAATTAGAAATAGTCAGAAAATAATAATTTCAAGAATAAATAATACTTTACATCTAATTCTATACTAGTTCCACTCTGGTGGACACGGTCCTCCCACATCTAATTGAGACCTACCTCTGTCAGGTTAACGGCTATTGGTGGACACGG